ATATATATATATATATATGGAGATATATATATACATATATATACATATATATACACATATACATATATATATATACATATATACACATACATATATATACATATATACATATACACATACATATATATACATATACATATACACATACATATATATACATATACATATATATACACATACATACATATACATACATACATATATATACAATTTATATATATATATATATATATATATATATATATATATATATATATATATATATATATTTATTTATTTATTTAGACCCGAACTACAAAACCAAATGTAAAACAATTTTAGTATCAGTTTTGCTTAAGTTGTACGCTACTGTTGCAGGAGAGGGGGAATAGAAGTGGCCGCTTTAAGACTGCTATTTACAGGAGTTGTAGTCCATAGTAAGGTGTATTATGGGTAGTGTAGTTGGACACGCATGCTGGATGATGTGAGCTCACTGTGTGCTGTGCAGCTGAAGCATTTAGGAACACAAACCTGTCCCATGATGTTCATGATCACAGGAACCACTCCATTCTCTTTGGTAAAGCCTTGGTAGGACATGTTCCTGGCTGATCGCTGAGTGCTGATGAACAAGTCACCATTGGCGGTCTCAAACACAACGTACTTCATGTCTGGACGAATCCAGCAATTCGTCTGACCAAACATGGTTTCAGGCCTCAGTGTTGCAGCAACCAGAAAAACGGTCTTGCCTTTAAGAGCACTGAAAACATTGAGAAAACAACACACCTTCTTTAAATATATATTGTTTAAACATAAATATTGTTTACTACCATGTGTTTGGTACTATGGTAATTAGGCATGGGCCTGTATAAGATTCTGACGGTATGATAACCTTGGATAAAAATATCACGGTTTCACAGTATTGTGATTACACCTCTAAAATAAGCTCTTTTTAAATGTCTGGGTAAAAAAACTAAAAAAAAATTCCAATTTGAACACAATACATTTTATTTTGAGAAACGTTTAAAATATTTTGGAGCAGTAAACATTTTATGCTAAATAATTCCAATGAATTATTGACTCCTGTTGTCTTATATTTAAGAGTTTACCATTTAAAACAGCATTTTTGGATATTTTTTTAGTTGGAGATACTGTTGTTCTAAAAAACATAAAATTAAAAATAAATATCTATAAATATAAAAAAAATATCTCCGTAAAACATCGTAAATAAAAAAATCTTACATATACCTTTTTTTAAAATTATTAAAAAGTTTTAATATTTTTTTTAAATTAAAACCATGGTAAACTTTGAAAACGAATGCATGCTGGGTGGATAAAGGAAGTGATGTCTTACATTCAATTGGAAAAGATTAAATACATGAATAGAGGCTCGAAACACAAGTTCCTAGACAAATGGTCCCCCTTTATTAAATACTTTGAAGAACTCCCTGGCCTTTGAAAAAATGTATTTATTGTTATTTTATTTTCTCTTATATGTTATTTCTATATTTCATTCTTTGGATGTTCTTTGGATGTTACCAAACTCCTCATGTCAAATAAGAACATCTTGACTAAAAAAATGACAATGTATGTCCTCACTGTCAACTTTGATATATCTGGAAGGTTTTGTGATTCAAGAGATTATGACCTTTTGTTTTATTTATATATATATATATATATATATATATATATATATATATATATATATATATATATA